GTTTGGAAAGGTAATAGAATGAAACAAAGAATTTTGTACTCCATAATTATGGTAGGTTATTATATGATTTGGCAGGCTAGAAATATGCGAATCCATGAGCAGAAGCACCCGACTGTAGATCAGTTGTGTGAAGACATCAAGCAACAGGTGAAATGGCGCATTCGATGCCATGGGAAAGTGAAGAAAGCAAGGGAGAGGGTTGTACTGCAGGAATTGGCTTGTAATAGAAATTACAGGTAGCATTTTGTTTAGTATAGAAAGGTAGAGGTAGTGATCCAATTTTATATGGGTGTACATATGGATGTTTCTTTTGGTGCGGAGTAATATAAATTTACCTCTTACCTTAAAAAAAAATATATATGTTGACGGAAGCTTTCTCTAGGATTCAGCTTGTACCACAACAAAACCTTAATAGCTTTCAGTATTATCTCATCTTTCACATAGTCGTTCAAACTGCTAGGATTCCAACTTATACCGTGCAAAGTATTGGCATGATTACCGATAAGTAAAAATCCTACAACAAAAATTCCTAAATGTTCATTTGAGATAAATCTGTGAATCAACCTAACTCATACAGCATCAGTTGGCATAGAGTTGTGACCCTTGTATCATTCTTTCTCTTCTTTGTTTTTTTAATTTCTTTTCCTTTGTTTTATGAGTCTACAATGAATAAAACAGAATCCTCAAAACAAAAGAAGAAGAAGAAGACGAAGATAATACGGTTAGATTCAGTGTGTTCTTTTTGCCCAGCTCAAAAAGTAATATTTTTATTCCTCACACAGGATTTTTAATTAGTAAATGTAGTCTCATTTTTTTTTTTGTGTCAGTTGGAACCTGAACATTATCCTGACATCTCTATTCATTAAAAAAAAAATAACATGTGATCGTTTTAGGCTCCATTTGGACAATTACTTAAAAAGTATTCTTACCATTTTTGAAGTTAAAAATCCATTTGGACAAAAATTTTGAGTGTGTTTGAAAAGTATTTTTGAAAAGAAGTGTACATGAATTATACAAATTGAAAAATAGGTGGGGGAGGGTTGTTTTTTAATTTTTTAGAAGTATTTTTGATTAGTGTACGCGGGTCTCCATGCGGGCGGAAACTGAGTTATAAGAAAAACATTTGGGTCGTATATTTAACAGAAAAAATTGCTTGTTTTCACATCAGTGGCCAATCGTCCAAACCCTAGAAGCTCTCAGTCCACCCCGCCGCTTCTTTCTCCCTCTCTTATCCGTTGATTCACCTCATATTTGAAGATTAATCCCGGCTCAAACTTTCAGTTTCCAGCTCACCCTTCTTCAAATTTCTCTGGAAACTCCCAAGAAACTGATCAATGTTTGTAGAATGGAAATGAGACCCTTTATTCTGTTCTTTATTATTTGTAACCTTCATTTATGTTTGGATTTGAGATTTCGCAATTATAGATTCCTCCCAATTTAAAAATAACCATCGATGTGAAAGTTTTTTGATTCCCAACAATTATATTATACACAAATATTATTCCTTGAGGTTTGCTCATTTCCCTCTTATCTTAATAAATTGTGATATGACTCGTGACTATCTGAGTTATCCTTTTCCTACTGTTACCGCTAGTATCATCACAAAATATGCATTTGATACAATAGTTTCTTTGCTGGTACAGTAATTAAAAATTTTTTAGTCTTTTTTTTCAGAAGTGGAATGATTTTCCCCTCAGTTTGTTTTTTTAGATTTTAAAAGTGTCAAGTCTTCATCCTGTCTAGATTTTGTTCTCTTGGAAAGCTTGTTAGTGGTTATCATTTTTATGTCTTTTCCCTTTCCTTTTAGGAATTGTAGTTCCAGAAATTCCTTTGGAGGAGACTGAGTTTTGAGAAAGGAAGCTGCCAAGTGTAATCTTCAAGTGGTAGGTATATATAGTTTTATGGGTTTTAATGTATTTTAATCATATTGGATTATTCCATTTGATTTCATGTTGGGTGAGCTTTGAATATCAATTATATTAGTGAAATTTTTGATTTCATGAAGATATTTTATAGAAAAGGTTTGTTTTATTCCTGAAATTGTGTGAAGAGTTTGTATCATTGAGGACTATTTAATTAAGAGAATAGTTTTACAAGTTTTATCATGATAAAGTTTGGACTAAGACTTGCTCACAATTTTGTATTTCCTATTGGATCAGTTGAGCATCCGGAGTTTTATCACACACTTGCAAGAACGCTGCTGGAAGAAGGCTCGCAAGGAGTTTGCCAATCTGCACCACTTTCCGATGCCACCGTTAGGGAAGTATTTTGTAGTAGACTGGGCTTGCAAGAATATATCAGGATTTATGGCGCCATTTCAAGGAAATTCGCTACCATTTATAAGATTTTTCCGACCGAGGTCGTGCTCCAACAAATGCTAAGGAGTATTTCAACCATGTCCACTCACTCCTCTTTGAGAAACATTATTGAAAGAACTATTGGTATATTAAAGCATAAGTTTGCTTTCCTGAAAGGACTAATGAATAACTATGATTTTGAGAAACAAGTTAATATGGCTATTGCGTGCTCTGTGGTTCACAATTTTGTAAAAGAAATGTAGCTGGAAGATGACATTATCAATGAGTTTGCAAACGAGGATTTGATAATAGGCGGAGAACATGAAAGTGGAGGTAATTTGGGGAGTCAAGCGGAAGAAGTTGACATGTCTAATCCTGCAATAACTCAATGGAATAATCGGCGAATGGCCATTGCAACAAATGGAATGCACGTTAGGGTTGCTTCTAGTATTGTTTTATTACGTGTTGAGCTTAAAACATTATGTATTTTATTCCAAAACTTATGAACTAGTTGTACTTTTCTTTGAGTGTTAAACATTAATTTATTATGGATTTAATTTAGTTACAACGTTCAAAAAGTTATACGTTAGTTTTGATTTATGTTAAAAAGACATTGTGTGAGAAAAAAAATTAAAAAGAAAGACAATTGTGAATAATGAAAAAGTAATTTAAAAAAGAAAAAGAAAAAATTGAAATCAAAAATTTATATAAAAATGATTTTTTTTTGGAAAAAAATTTCACATTAAGTACTTTTGTAATTTTCTTGTCCAAATGCCTTTTTAAAAATTTTTTCCTACATTTGGCCGGAATCCAGCCGATTGGTCACCGGCGGCGGCAGAGGTAGTCCGTTGGTAGTTTAAAAATAATATTATTTTATTTAAATACTACTCAAATAATTTTTTAAATTTTCACTCAAACCACATTTTAAATTATATATCCAATTCAAACAAAAAACTAAAATAAACCATTGTCAAAATATTATCTATGATTAGTCTCCTTGGTACAAATGCAGATTGTGATTCAGTAGAAGAGAGTAAAAGACAAAGAATTACTCAAGGTATCATTTCATTTGCTAAAGTCAACGGTGATCCGAATTTTCGTTCTTAATAAACAATAAAACTCAGTCACTAGGGACAGCTCAACGTTTCGAGGGGCCTAAAGCGAATTTTCTTGTTGGGGCATTTTAAAAGAAAGAACTAAAAAAAAAATAGTTCTCTTCGTTTATTTACGTTTAAGAGACATGTTTCTATAAATCAAGAAATCATAATAAGGGGATTTTTTTTTAAAAAAAAATAGATTAAGTTTATCTTTTAAGCTTTTTTCTCTTTCAAAATTGTTTATACTAAGTTAGTTTTTCATTTTTTTGGAAAAATTTTGATGAAACTTTCATAATATAATTGATAGCTTTAATACTTTCCGGAAAAGAGTCGTTTCATTGATTTAGTGGTTTGAAAAATTAAGATTTTATTGTTAGATTTTTGAAAATTAATATTGACATTTGAACATATTTAGGTATGTAGAGTTGAAAATAGAATTAAAATTTTTATTTTCCTTTTTCTTTTGAAAGCAAATATTGTTTTGCTTTGATTATTTTTCTAATAATACATATATATAATATTATTTTTTGAAGAATATATATAATATTTAACTATTATTAAAAATTTGGGGCCCTTCTCAACTTGGGGTTTAAAGCGATTGCTTTACTTGCTTTATGGAAGAGCCACCTCTGTCAGTCACAATGAAATTTATTTGTCGACTTCTAATTTATTTATTTATATGTACTCGGATGGTGTTTAAATTGATGCAATATAGATACCTACTTTTTAATACCTTTCGGTTTTTCAAAGATTATTTGGAGTCAATAACTTCGCAGGCGATTGCAGAATTTGCGTGCGGGAAAAGTGTGTGAAATAATGACTTAAACTTGGTTGGGGAATTTTTGTTTGGTCACCGGCGTAACAATACAAATTTTGCGCTTCATTAGAATATAACACACATAAGAAAATCCATTTTCGAAAGAAATAATTTTAGTTTCTTTAGAAATTAGAAACATAAAGAAATGTCAGAGATCCAAGTACTCTAAAACTTAAATTAGTAATTCAATTTATGCTCTTTTCGTGTTTAGTTTCGATAAAATTTGTGGCAAACCTGAGTAGGTAATAATTCAGTAAGAATTTGTCCCACATCACTTTCTCGTTTTATGCGTTTGATACATCTATTCTTTTGCACAAATTTTATAAAATTTTTCACTTTTGGTTTTTTTTTTTTTTTAAAGATGTATACATAATTCAATGTTTTGTTATAATGTTATTAACAAACTTGTTTAATTTAACACATCAGAAATAAAACGCTCAATCACCTTAACATTTTTTCACGGATATATATTCTAGAGGCGCAAGTATAATGCAAGAGAAACCACTAATTTTGTTAATTCACAAACTGTATACCCAGACTAGCTGTTACAGTTTATCAGATTGTTTCGTATAGTATGCTTCTCAATACCTTGATCTCCAGAAACCAAGAAAATAGTTCATGTATTAAAATATTTAGCTGAATTCACTATACTACCTAATGAAAATGGAAGGACTTTGCAATGTCCTAGTCTTTACCGACTGTGAATTCTCGGCATCAACTATGACTCCGGAGTCTTGACCAGTAGAGTGTCAAGAACTAAGCAATACTAGTAAACCTTCCATTGTCCTTATGAAGCTTGTTAAAATTAGCATTCAACAGATATATTCGGCAAATTTAAGAGAAACTCTTTCAACATCTATCATAATTATTAATCTCTAATCATGCAGATCATCTAGCTCGATGTAAAAGGTTATCAAACATACAGAGACATCAACATGTCCTTGAATCTTGTACTTCTTATTCTATCATTGAGTATCTGTAGCATTAATAGGTCCAAGCAACAAGAGCCGAAAATAACCATAACCTGAACCAATTCCCGCAAGTATTAGCTGTGCGCTGCGCGCATTATGTTTCTATGACAACAGTACCAGCAAATTTAGGGTGTTCGCCATTCGCCAAGTACGTTCAACGTATATTTCTGCTCCAGGTGTTAGCAACTAATGACAATATCGTATGTATGCAAAATTAGAAAAGTTGCACCTATACTACCATGGATGCCTACTGTGCTAGCCATGTACAATTGAGATGTTCAAACACAGATGTAAAATTATCATCAGGAATTCACCCAAAAAAAAAAAAAAAAAATCATCAGAAAGGAATGTTATCATGTCTATTGAGAAGCTCAGCGTTGTTTTTTTGTCAAATACCAAACTTCAGAACAGATTTAAAGATAGCTTATCCTAATAATGAGAGGCAAGCCCGTGAGATTATCAGAACTTGTAAATGATCACAGGGAAAGAAGAAAAGGAGATGCAGTGGTTCCTACAGCAATAAGTTTTTGTCCATTTCGCTGGAAAATACAAATTGCAGTATCACGTAATTACACATGCGTTTATTTAGGCAAACATACTGCTCAAGCTAGAAGAAGTAACAATCTTTATAGCTTTTATGTACCATCTAACATATAACTCAAAAAGAAGGATATCAAGTGCCCCCAGGCATGAATTCTATCACATTCAGTCATACTTTTCATCTCAGCCATAAGTGATATTAATATGTACAATTAGCAGTTCTCTTCTGAATTTAGAACATAATATATCTTCATATTCTAATCCATCTTAAAAATAAGAAAGCTTGTGCTCCAATTGCTTCTACTCCAACTACCAGAAGGCAACTGAAATTCCAAAACAACAAGAATAGAAGACCATTCCCAGTCACCTCTGCCCCTAAGACAAAAGAGGCACCCTGCTTCCCAATATGTTACATTGAAATGGGGGCAATTAAACAATAACATTTGCCGATTGTTGGGCAAGAGAAGGAATATAAAAAGAGTGAAGAACCAATCCCCTTCTTCCATCAATATATTCATCACATTTCAAAAACAAACCTCAAGTTCTTCAAAACAGATATTGCAATAAGTAACAACTTACATGCAGTGTGGCATAAACACTAATAAAAATGGCAATCTAATGAATGCATACCAGCATCAAAGGAATAAATAATAATCACATTCTGGAATTTGGATAAACAGACATAATTGTACCAACAAATTCCACCTATTTAATGAACTCACATCCCCAATTGACAGGTAAAGTTTGACAAATGATGAAAATGCCAATCCATTTACAAATTAAGTATCATAAAGTAGAACAAAGCAACAACAAAATGAGAAAACCAGGAGCCAAGAAGGACAGAAAGAATAAAATCCTGTAACGGAAATTGTGTTCATAAATTCAAACTAATTTCAATAAACAAAAAACAGTTACAGGTACAAGAGAAACAACATCACAGTCAAATTGAGTCTCCGATAGAATTATAATGGTTTGCCACTTCACAATATTGCAAGTCTCGTACAATAAGAGATTACCCCAGCTCCACCTTTTCTAGGGCACCGCTGAAAGCTGAGCCTCAAGCAAGAAACCCCGGCAAAGTCCGTCCCCATTCCCAGGAACGCAATCAATCCACCGCCATTCACTCTTTGCACATCCGTTCTCCTCAAAGCTCTCCCAAAGCACCAACCTTCCAACCCTCTTTGCAGAAAAACACACTCTATTCCGCCCTCCGAACACCTTAAACTTACTTGAATCTTGGAAATAACGGTACATTTCTTGGGGCATTCGTCCGGCCTCATCCCATTCCAAACTCTCTAAATCCAATCTCAAGATCAAAATGGTGGAACATGCGCTATGCAATGAGTAAGAACTCTTCAATCCACCAATCATCAAAACCCTATTTTTCCCACCAACTAACAATCGAGGCCTTCTTATAATATCAAACACATCCCCCCACTCATGCTTCTCTAACCGAGTCCATTTCTGAGTGAATAAATGCTCCGTGTCCATCACCATTGACTTGAACATCTTCCACTGTGATCTCCACGGAGAACCCACATCGCAGAGCGCCAAAATAAAGTTATCGATCAACACAGGACTTCGCGGCTTGGAAGGCAAGTTGGATGAGAACTTAAGCCACGAATTGGTAGTTGAATACAGGGTAGCTAACTCGGTGAGGACTAAAACTTGACTTGGTCTCCGACCGACTAAAACCGAACCGTGACGCGACCAAGCCGATCCAAGCTGAGGCAAAGCTTCATATTGCCTCGTTAAAGGGTTGCAAACAATCAAAGTCTTGTTATTATTACTGTTACCGCTACTAGGTTTAGGGACACCATTCCCATGGCCCTGAGACGGGGAAGAAGTGGAGGAAGCCCAAAGATAAAGGAGGCCGTGGGAGGAGGTGATCGGGAGGAGGGAAGGGAAGGGGAGAAACCCGAGAGGGAATCGGAGCCATCGGTGAAGCAAAGGGTCGAACACATGAAGTGCGGGATGAGGAGACGATTGGGAATGGGCGTGAGAACGGTGAGATGGGCGGAGGGCAATCAGGGGGAATACATGGGATTGGGAGGTGGAGATAAGATGCAGGAATGAAGGCGAAGAAAGAGTTGAGCGAAGGTACTTACAAACGGATTTGCAGACTATGATCTGATGGAGTGGAAGGGAGAGAAAGATCTGGTGGAGTGTGTCCTGCGGGAGACGATTCAGCGGTGAAGACTCCATTATCTGCGGCGGTCGGAGGCGGCGGCGGCTTGACTGCGGAGGAATCCGATAATAATGGAAGAATAATATATTCAACCGGGGGGGTGGGGATGGACGGTGGTGGAAGCGGTGGGCGGTGGTGGTAGTGGGTGGGGGGAGGATGGTTCTTTGTTTGTGCCTTTTTCTTCTGACTTTTTGTTTACTTCGCGTTTGTAAGCTGGAATTTAAAATAATCCCAATAAAACCTCTTTCTTTGCTGTTTGCTCCAAAGCTTTTTCATTGGTTTGACTCCATCAGAAATGTCCATGACGTTATATACCAAAAAATGGAAAACAACGAAATTACCGACGGCTATTCCCAAAAAAAAAAAAAGGAAAAGAAATTACTGACGCCAGCACCGAAGTTTCAAATAAATAATGACGCCAAAAAAATCAGTATAATCATTTTAAGACGATCAAAATAATGATTCACGCAAAATTATACCGCAAATATCTTGGAATTTTCATTTTCTTTGCATAAATTTTGAAGTTTTTAGTTAGAAATTAGTATTATCTTTCATATGCTAGAGCACCAATTTTATTAACAAAAAATTTCGACGTATTCTTGAATCAAACAAACATTAATGAAACTGTAAAGATATTCAGCTTTTATTGAGAGGTTGGCAAGTTTGATCTAATCGACTACAAGTACGTGGTAATTTCTCCTCTCAAGGGAAAAGAAGAAGAAAAAAAGAAAACACTATCCCCATCCATTTGTCAAATTAAACTATTACTCCCTTCGTTCTAAAATTATTGTCCAGTTTGAGATTTCACTTTTAGTATAATTTGAACTAAAAATGAAAACTCAAAGTAAACAATAATTTTGTGATGGAGGGAGAAATGATTTAGGATTTAAAGTTTAGGGTTTATCTAAAAAACTTATAGAAACAACAGGGAAAAAAAAGTCATAAAGGAAGAAAAATCTTACATTAGCTAATTACTGGAAGTTGACTAACACCAAATGATTAACAAAGTTAGGAGGATCACTCTTTGCAAACTGTAAAGGAAGCTCTTGTTGATATGGAAGCTATCAAATTTTCTCGTGCAATTGCAAAGGGCGTATTAGATTTAAATAGGGGGTTATATCTTTTTTAATATTCCTCAAGTTGTATTGACTTGCTGTTAGAAAATGACTCAAGGGAGTCTTCTAATGTAGAATGAGACGTTAGCCTTCAGTTATGTATTTCACCCAGAAAAAAAAAATTATCAATTTTTTTTTCAATTTATATTTGTTGTATATTGGTTTTATTATCATACTAGAAATGATAAAAATGTTAATCTCTCTGTCTCTCCAAAATAAAAAAATTAAAATTTACAAATAATAATATCAAATATTTTTCTGGGAGGAAATATCAACTTCTAAAACAAAATTATAAGGTGAATGAGGTATTGGTTCAGTGGTAAAACTACCATTGCTCTTAAGAGCATGTCATGAATTCAAACTCCCACTGCAACAAAAGTGAGAGATGGCTTTAACCTTGTCAATAGACACCTTTAGAGAGTTTGTTATGACAATCCCACTCATAAATCCCCAATTTCGAGGATAGAGCTTGTCACCCCGGCATTACCAAAAAAAATACATTAATGTATCGGTTTTCTTGTGTTTTAACATAAAGTATGTTATTTCAATAATTGACGTTCGAAACTTCGAATTATATATGGCAAATAGTATTAAGCTCCCCAAACCCAAAAAAAAGTGGGCAATTTATCCTGGTTTTTATGTCTTCACGCGCATCATTCAATCCCGCATTTAATCACCCAATTTTATCCCCCTTTTTTTGGCATTTTATCCCATTTTTTTGGCATTTAACCCCTTGATTTTATCCCCTTTTTTTAACACACGTTTAATTTTAAATCTTTCTTTTTTGGCTTATCATGTTAGCTTTTATATTATTTTATTTTATGAGATAATTTTTTTATAACGATAGATTTTATTTTGGCAAAATTGACTATGGTGAATCATTGAGACTTATGAATATGGAGAATCAATCTGTATTTTCTCAGTAATGAATAACCGACGTTTAGACAATGAATAATGTTATGCAATTATTGAAAGATGAATGATGTAGAATGTATTCGTTTTATTGGTGAATATACATGCGTAAGGTGATGCGTAATATATGATTACTGATGAACATGAATTTCATAGTTTTTTTTGGCAGATGGTGTATCATCTTGTTAAGATTTTATGATGAGTATCTTGTTTTAAGTAATGAATAACAAGTTGTTATTGATGAATAATATATAATGTGCTTATTGGACGATGTTTCAACTCTGAGGAAGAGACTTTTGCTATTTATAATATCAACATTATGGACGTGATGAATAATGATATTCTTATAGTGATAACGTTATGGACGAATAAATTTAAATTTTGTAATGAATAACGATATTCACAAAGATGAATAACGATGCAAACTTGATGAATAATGATCTCATCCTAAATGAATAATAATATTACAATGAAGAATAGTTGTAGTTTTACAAGATGAATAATTGTATTTTAATGAATGAATAATATACGTTACTGATGAATAACTTTGATAACAAAAATATATATTACAATGGGTTAATATTAGCAACTAAACTAACAAACTTCTAATTATGTATTATACTAGATAAAAAATGAACAAAAAAACTAGTCATTGTTTTTAATATATAAGGTCTTGAAGGATTTGCCGATGTTCGATACACGTTTATGTTGATTGTTTGATTTCATCAACTCTGGCAAAATATTTAATTCCCGGCCGATCGACTTCATCTTGATGAGTATTTCTTTGCTGCTGATCAAATAAAAAGAACATTATAATAAGTGAGATTTCACATTCAATCAAAACTCTGTTAATCATCAATAACAATACTATTGAAGATAAATAATCACTATTGGATGATTTTTTAATTGTGTTTATTAATATCAACGTATCAGATGTATCACAAAATTAATGAACAACTTTTTGTGAATTAATAAATAACTGTACATGGATGATGAATACACATTTTGACAATGACAAGATATCATGTACTTTTTTCAGATTATGAAATTGAAAAATTAATAATCATTGTCGATCCAATGAATATCATCCCTTCACGGATGAATAGCACAAAAACACGATATAATAAATACCAAACATCAATCTGATGAAGAAAATTAACGGATGCATAATATATAGTTATGGTAAATGATAAATCAGACAATTTCAATAATGAATAGTTATACAAAACTGATGAATAATTATACATATCTAATGCATAGTACATAACTGGTTTTATGTTCTGTTGCTTGTCGACCCAATGAATAACATCCATTTGCGGACGAATATCAAAAAAAAAAAAACACAATCTGATGAATACCAAATACCAAACTGATGAAGAAAATTAAAGAATGGATAATACATATTTATGGTCAACGATGGATCTGACAATGTCAACAATGAATAACCATACTAAACTGATGAATAATATCCAGATCTACTAATTTACCAAACTGATGAATAATTATACCAAACTGATGAATAATACAAAGATCTAGTGATTTACCAAAAAAAAAAAAATCCTAAATAGTTATGGTAAACGATGAATCTGACAATTTCAACAATGAATAATTATACCAAACTGATGAATAATACAAAGATCTACTAATTTACCAAAAAAATTGGTAAACGATGAATCTGACAATTTCAACAATAAATAATTATACTAACCTGATGAATAATACAAAAATCTACTAATTTACCAAAAAACAACATCCAATCGAAAAACAAAACTCTAAAATTGATGAACAAACATCGTCAACCGAGTGAATATAACTTACATCTACGCACAAAACTAAAAATTAATGAACAAACATCTCAAATCGAGTGAAAATACCTTAGATCTACATAACCCAACCTTGAAAACACATCAATTGTTGAAGAGAATAGTAGTATTACCTCGCTTCTTCTTCATCTTTCGATGTTCTCATACTCGGTTCAGATTCCTCAATCGCAGGCTTCTATATGAATATTTCAAAAAACAAAAACGAGATTATTAGAACTTGTTATATGCAATAAACACACAAAATCGATGAATTAGACCATATATTACCTTAAATCTCAGTCGGAGTAGAGTATATCGCAACCCAAATCGCTGGATTTGTTGTACAATATGATTTCCTCTTCGAAAGTATCACATCGGGGAGCTTTTTGTCGCCGTATCGCTTCAGGAATGGATATTTATTTTTTCTAAATTTTTGGTTTGAGACGTACTGGATTGAATCGAAAAGAAAGTTGGATAGGGTTAATGGCCGGAAATTAGGAGCAAACAGCGGTTACCGTGATTTGAAAATCAAAAAGTCGCACATAATGGGGGTATTAATGGGCGCGTGTAAACACTCGGATGGCATTGTTATAAATATTGGGAGTCCCCCTTTTTTGGTCGCGTGAGTTTCACCCTAGGTATACCTTGGATCCCTATATTATAATTGAATTATATACTACTAAAATGGTGTACAAAATTAATTTTGACTTGATCTTAAAATCAGTACGGAAGAATTATCCTTTTCTCAGGGACAGAAAATATTTGGATTATCCCAACAACACTTACAATCCCAACCTCGATCCTAGTAAACAATAATCTCCTACCTTAGATTCATAACCTCCCTAAAAGACCCTTCGGGACATTTGTTAAACTTGGAAACATAACCTTCCAATAAAGCTTCCTCAAAAAAAAAAAAAAAATAAATAAATAAATAAACCTTCCTATAAAGAAAATGAAAAGGAAAAGTAGAGGGGTGTTCGACCTAAACAATGGTCCTAAAATAGGAATAGATAGATTTACTGTTTTTGTTGATTGGTGGACAAAAAATACCGATCTTGAATTTGACATACTAATTAAATTAAAAACTCAGGATTCAAAAATCCGAGTGAATACATAATAATTTTTAATATTATTTTGGAATATAGTGGGAGAACAAAAAAAAAAAGAAAATACAACAATAAATGAACAGTACAACTTGAATTTTTAAATCCGAACAACTTTTTTTTTTTAAAAAAAAGAAAAATCGTTAAGAGCGGAAATTTTGAAAATGTATCCGAATTTTGATAGCCGTTCGCATTAAATTTGACCTATTTACTTTAAGAAAAAATAAAACATGAAAAAAAACATTGCATTAATAATTACTAACCGTTTGGTAGAAATTTGCATTAAACTCATTATTATAATACTAATATGTATTATAATACTAATATGTATTATACATAT